TATATATATATATATATAAATATGTGTTACAGATTGATAAAAACGAGACAAAAACAAAAACAAAAAAATGGATGTATGGAATATTTTTCAAATTTTTTGCACAATTTTATAATTAAATTGCATCGAAAATAATAATTTAAAGAAAGTTTTATATAGTTTATATAGTTTTCTATTTCTACGAAAGAGCATATTATGCGAGCATATTATGTATTTAAGAAGGAAAAAATGTCAAATGGTCAAATGCGAAACAGATAAGATAATTCGCGTCAAAAACTATCGTGTTAGAAATTACTTATAGTTTCCTTCAGAGATGGCAACACGATGCAGTTTTATTAGAGCAATAGACATATCCCGCACGTGTCAAACAACGAAGTCAAAATAATAAATTCATCAAATCACATTGACATTTCTGAAGAATTTTCACATCGGTAATTGCAATGCTATGTTTCAAGTCAATCTTTTTCAATTCGTGCATTATTGAAATATACATAGAAGCAGGTGTTTAAGAAAGCATTTGAAAATTTTTCCACGCACAGTGTTCACGTATTAAGTAAGTAAATTTTTAATAACAGCCTCAAACAGTGGGATTCAAAGTTTGAAAAGGAAGATCATTATATCTTTTGTTCTCAATTTTATTTCAGCGAATAGAATTCGTTAGATAATTGATAATTTAACATCGTTTCAGCGTGATGTTGAAGTGATGCGATATGAAAGTCGGTAAAGAGGGTTGAAATATGTACGTCAGTGTTCGGTAGGGTTGTCGGGGATGCGCATTGGACGTCGAAGGAGTCTATCGCGTATCAGCCAACGTTCCTGGATCGTATCGTCAGTATGCGGTCGCGCATTCCATGTGGAAACATCTTTCGGTTTCTTCATTGCCTCTCCGACCTCGAATCACGTCGAACACTTCTCTCACCATTTTTTTTTATTAATTTCCCTCAATCGGTAAAAGGAAACTTTCGCTACGTAATCGCAAGATATTTAGAAACCAGCGAAGGAAGAGAGAGAAAAAAAAAAAACGAGCGTAGAGGATATTTTTTATTTAAAATTCTTGGATTAAGATCGAAATAGAAGGGACGATTGAGAAAAGAAGAGAGAAGCAGAGAAAGAAAAAGAGAGAATTAAAAATGTCTCGAATTGTTGAATGCTAGAAACAGATTAGAATATTATATTAGGATATAGCTTTGAGAATTGCCGATTGAAATCAAAGGAGAGAAAGAATCGTTAAATGCGTACTGGTGTAATAACCGCGTGACAAGGGGCACAGTATCATTGAGCGGGAAAAGGAAGCGAAAACCAAAAGAAAGATCGAAAGAGAGACGAGGAGAGTTTTAAACACGAGAGAGGAACGTCCTCGTGACTTCAACCACGTGTCTCTCGTGGTCTTCGTTTAAACACGCGTAAGAGCAATTTTCTCTATTGACGTACACCGGTTGTTCGTGGTTGCTCGTATACTGATGAACACTCTTGTTTCTTTGCCACGAATCTATTCACGGATTGGAACTGGCATGCGATTTTTTCGAAATTAAAACGGCCATTTAATATTTTTTCGCATGCATTTTTTCTTTTTTTTTTTTTTTTTTTTTATGTGTTAATGTAATCGATCAGTTTGTCCATATCTCCCTTTCTCTTGATTTCTATAGCATGCAATTAATCTAAATGTCGTAATATCTCAACTGAATTTTCTAGAATTTTGCATGCTGTGGATCAAGCTTATTCTTCTGTTAATGTTTGTGAAATATTTTTTTTCTCTATTGTACCTGTTGTTGTTTCTCAGGGTTCTCGGATATTGTGAAATTTTCGTAACATTTATCTAGACAATTCGACGATTTATTCTATTACTCTCGCTCTTTCATTTTCTACAGTGCATTAAAGCTACAAAGAGCGGTGATTATTCTTTCGACTCTAAAATTTAAGAAACAGAAGTTTGCCAATAATTCGGCTTACGAGTGAAATACCAGGTTTACGATTTTATGAATTTCTTTCGAAAGCAGAATCAAACTTAGTATCGAAATTCCCCCTAGTATCGAAATTTTTTCATTAAAAAAAAAAAAAAAAAGAAAGAAAAGAGAAAGAAGAAGAAGAAGAATACAAAGAAGGAGAAAGGATATTTTTACGGCAATTTTTTCCCACTAATGGTAACGGGATTCCGTGGGGTAATGCGTAATGAAGACGATCGATCGATCGTACCGCGAATCGATGATGGCGAATGGGAAACCTGCGAGCCCGAAATGAAAAAGACGGTGCGTTTAGCCGTGCTCGCAAGACAGCGGAACGTATGTACGTAAGATTGCAGCGTCGTAGATTATTTGTAGTCGTTGCCATTGAGATGGTTTCATAGTAGCCCCTTCCCCGCGTATATACCTTTATATCGAGACTGAATGGACAGAGAGAGCAGCCTCCTCTATGAGATAATACGCCTGGTTGTACCTAAGTCATTCAGGCCCGAAGTCGGATCCATCGAATCGCGAGAGATCGCGCGAGGTGAGGGTGGACACCGTGGCCCCTGCAGTCATGCTCACCATACAAAACGAGTGAGTATATCGGTTTGCATGCGATTGAGTAGCTACACGATAGCTTCGGCTGCATCGATGCATCCGTGGATATCTTCCACTGCCATGCTTTCACCTCCTCTGGCTTTTCAGAAATCACTGCCATGCCGATGCTTCCTGCTTCGAGCTTTTGATCATGGTTTCAGGGGCCGCCGTTCGATTCGTGACTTTTCAACAATTGCCAAGCTTATACAGAGGGGATAAGCAGATATTTCCTCGTTTTAAAACACACGTCTCGTCATCGTCGGACGATTTCTTTCATCCAGGCCGTTTTCGCTTCCTTAATCTCTCCTTAAATCTTCGCCGTTTTTATTTCTACGCGTGTCGTCGTATCTTTCTACTCGTTCTTTGCTGTACCTTCCATCACAAATTTATCTTCCATCTGTTAAAAAGTTCTGTTAGGAATTTCTTAACTTGTTAATTTACTCGGCTCTCTTAGCTCCGGACATCTTCTCTTCGGGAGAGGAACAAAGCAGCGTCGCGTAGCTCGCATTCGGTGCATTCATCTACTTTTTAAACTTACTTCCTTTCAGCGATGCAAGAATCCATACTCCTCCACCTTCTTTGATGGGTTTATGGTTTCGTGGTGATTATGTGGCTTAGCGATAGATCACCTGAAACCAGCACGTGGAAACCCTTAAGAGTAACTGATTTTCATGGCTTTTGTAATTACAAGATTCTCGATAAATCCTTCAAATATCGAACAACGATAATTCTACTTTTTTTTTTTTTTTTTTTTTACAGAAAAATCCTTCTTTCAAATTGTATACTAGTTCTGGCGTATTCTTTTTTCTTTTTTTCTTTTCTTTCGTTTAACGAAAATTCCATGGATCCATTTCGTTTACACGTTTTGAAGTTTCCAGTGGAAACGTGAATCGCTTCGCGAGATTTCTCGCTCGCGTAGCGAGAAATCCGTAATACGACGTACGCAATTACGAAGGTGCGGTTTCGGGCAGATGCCGTGACGTGTTCATCGTGGGTCGACGTGGATTCCCTTTGCATCGTGTGCAGTAACATGGTAATAAACCACTACAGTAGCGGTGCATAATCTAATGGCGGGTTGCCTTCTGCGACAAGTATGGGACAGGCTTGCATCGTACCTCCCTGCGGTTCATTAATTGCAACTTGCTCTCTCGACAGACACGCCGTTGTTCCGATCGTCCGAGCGACAACAACAACCGAGGGGTTGGAAGGGAAAAACCTCGCCGCACGTATATCTGCAACACGTGTGTGTCTACAATCTCGAAGGAAACCTATAGGAAGCTATGAATTTTCTTTGTTACCGTGTCCCTTTTTATTCTTCCAGTTTCTTCCTCGATGAGGACATCGATCGGGCCATTGTGTGTCGGATAATTCACGTATTCGGATCGTGTTCCCTTCGCTTCGATTCTTGTGTGCCCTCGACGCACTCTTTGTATTTTTTGTAATTCAGCCCAATTTGATGTAGAAGATTTCAAACGGAACAGTTCGCGAAATTGCTCCCCTCGCGCTTTCGTTCTCCTCTGTTAAACGTACAGACGTATTCTTCCTTCGAGGTACAATATCTATTTTTTTTTGTTTTCCATTCGACACACGCCGTGTCCACGTACAAGTGAATTTAACTTTCCTCGAGTCCGTAGAGGCTCTCTGTGTTCTGTGCACAACAGATATATCGCGCGATATCTTCTCGTATTTGTTTGTGTTAATTCGAATTGTATTATGTATTATGTATTAACTGAGATACTCCATAATAGCCAATAGATAAAAATCATCGTCACGTATTTCCTACTAGGAGAGAGTTTTACAAAATAGATGACGTTGTTGTTTTCGGCAATTGGAGAAACCGGAGCGACAGTGTAATAACAATACTATGGGAGGCTCCCGGGTTTAAAGATTTGATTTCACGGCGGTTAGCTTCATTGTGCGCAAAGTTTAGAGAAAGAGAATGGGTCGTAAACTTGTTCTTGCTTCGCTGTTGCGAGATTATTACCTCGTATTCAGAGAACAACAGGCAATGCACGTCAGCGATCATCATTTCGCTCGATTGCGGTTTACGGAAGCCAGCTGTAAGCAATGTCCCTCCCGTTGCTGCTCTATTGCGCGTTTTCTTCGATGTTACGTAGTTACATTACGTTGATACTTGCAACAACACCGGTTGTTGTTCGCCGATTGTACGAATTAATCGGATCGGAAAGACGTGTCGAACCGAAGGAAGCGAATCTTCGGTTTCCCAGGCGAGTGAAATAAAAACAGATCGTCGCGATTGCAAGCGTTTCGTTGGGAATGAAAAGGGGGGACAGGCTTACTAATTTGTGTCTGAATGTATACTTGTGACAATCAGCCTACTATTCAAAC